AGCTGAACTAGTTACATTTTGGAGAGATACTTTTTGCCTGAAGGTGTCTTAGAGAACAACATTCATGAACGAGGGTGACTGAGAATAATTTTTGATTACTCTGAGAATAACTTTTGATTACTCCGAGAATAACTTTGATGTCTTAGAGATTAACTTTGACGACTAAGCATAACTTTTGATGTCTGTGAGTATAACTTTGATGAACGAAGATATCTTACAGAACAACTTTGATAGCTCTGAGATTAACTTTGAGGACATGAGAATACCTTTTGATGACTCTGAGAAGGACTTTGATGTCTAGGAGAACAACTTTTGATGACTTAGAGAATAACATTTTATGTCTTAAATAATAACTTTGGATGTCTCTGAGAAAAACTTTGATGAACGAAGATGTCTTAGAAAGCTTCTGTGATGAACGCAAGGTTACTTTGAGAAAACCTTTGAGGACTGAGATTAACTTTTTGATAGCTCTGAGAATGACTTTTGTGGACATGAGTAGTAATTTTACTTTTTTAGTGTGTCTTTGATTGTGTCTTTGATGTTTCGAAAAGTGTGTCTTTGATGACTCAAAAAGGGTCCTTGATGTCTTGAGAAGTGTTTTTGACTATATTTCTTACTTAACGACACATAATTTTAGTTACGAAAGTGCTGAAAGAAGTTACATGTGACTATTTTTCAGTTATCTTGAGATCTTGAAATGATTTCGGAGCTTTAGTGCCCCTCGGCCCGGTCCTCGACCAGGCCTCCACCCCCAGGAAGCAGCCCGTGACAGCTGACTAAGACCCAGGTCCCTATTTTACTGCTAGATAACAGGGGCATAGGGTGAAAGAAACTCTGCCCATTGTTTCTCGCCGGAACCCTGGATAGAGCCCGGGACCACAGGATCACAAGTCCAGTGTGCTGTTCGCTCGGCCGACCGGCTCTGATTGACGAATAATGATAGTTAAGAAAGTATTGAACAAAACTACACTTGACTATTTTTAGTTGATTAACGAATAATTTTAGTTATGAACAGTGATGAATGAAGTTAGTCATAACTATTTTCAGTTGATTGACGATGGATAAGTTAAGAAATGATGAACGTGGTTATGTTTAGTTCAATGACAAGCAATTTTAGTTAAAACAACTAGAAACATTTGTCTCTGTAAATTTGTACTGAATGGAAGAAAACAATTGTAAGTTTAATTTTAAAGAACATGTAAGAGAAAGTATTGATCACAGTGAACATACGGGAACATGAAAAAGAACACAGTAAACTTTGGGGCATATGAACTTGCAGAGAACATGAAAATATGATAAAGAACATAGGGAATACAAAGAATGAACAATGAACTTGTGAAGAACATAGAGAATATGACAGAGAATGTAGAAAACATGTAAGTGAAGGTAATGAACTAAGTGATCTTGTGAGGAACATGAACTTGTAGAGAACATGCGAAAACATAAAAACATAGAAAATATGTAGGAAAGGCTGATGAACACAGTGAACATGTGGAGAATATGAACTTGCAGAGAACATGAAAACAGAAAATATGACTAGAATTTGTAGAAAACATTATGAGACTATGAGAAAGATCACAGAAAAATGCAGATACTTGTGAAAATAAGAACTGAATATGATGTTAACATATGAAGAACATGGAGTGAACACAGAAAACAAGGATGAGAATACGAAGAACACAGTGAATACAGAGAAAATATGCAAATACAATACGATTATTGAAGGTTTGGATAAGTTGGGGAGTTAAGGGAGGGGGGGTGGGTAAGGGATGAGAAGGTAAAGGAAAGGTGTGATTTTTTACCGTGAGATTATTTCTTACTTGATAAACAAAGGATAATGAGAGTAAGGTGCAATCTGACCGTGTGAATATTAGCACGTTATTGAATATTTACACAGATGAGTACAAAAAGGGTAATGAAGGACAGAATATGTTTACTTGTGATAGACTGGAGAAAGCCTTGATCTGAAATAATTATGTTTGATGAACTAAGGCTGAGGAAAAGAAATGGAGCTCTGTTAATGTCTTTGTTTATTTTACTAGGGGTCTGAAATATAGTTGGGTTTTAAATCTTGGGGGATTTGGACTAATAGTAGTGAATTTACAAGAGCGAACAAAGGGATGAGACAAATGCTGAAACTCGGTAACACTATTTGGATCTTTTTTACTGTGACTGAAATACAGTGGGTTTAAATTTCAGGGACATTGATAGGATATTAATGAAGATACGCGAGGGAACTAAGGTGGAGGACAGAAGCTGGAGCTTGGTATTTGTTTCGATCTTATTTACTGTGTATGAAATACAGCGGGTTTAAATTTCAGGGAAATTGATCTGCTATTAACGAAGATATTAAAATGAACTCAGTGGGGGACAGGAACTAGAACTCGATAATTATTTGAATCTAATTTACTATGTCAGAAATACAGAGGGGTTAAATTTTAGAGACATTGATAGGATATTAACGAAGATACGAGAGAGGGTTATGGTGGGGACTGGAGCTAGAGCTCGGTAATTGTGTTTACTTTCTTTATTCAGTTAGTAGTATAGCGGGTTTAAATTTTAGGAAAATTGTTCAGGTATTAACGAAGATATGAGAGGGAACTAAGGCTCAGGACAAAAGCTGGAGCTTGGTAAATATGTTATCTTTACTTCCTCAGTGAGAAGTATGGCGGGTTTAAATTTCAGGAAATTTCATGGGTATTAACGAAAATGCAGGAGGGAACTTTAGGCCGAGGACAGGAGCTAGAGTTCGGTAACTGCATTGATTTGATTTACTCCGTTTGAAATATGATTGTTTAAAATTTCAGGGGGATTGGTTAAGTATTAACAAAAAAATGAGAGCGAACTAAGGTGCAGGACAGGAGTTAGAACTTGCTTACTGACATGATTTATTTTACTATGTACGAAATATGACTGTTTAAAATTGGGCTATTAGTAGCAAAAATGTGGTCTCTGACAAATTTTGGTCGTAAAACGGTATCCGATGAAATTTGGTTTCTGAATATTTCTGGGCTCAAACTGGACTCTGTTCATTTTCAGGCCTTCAGATGGACTCTGATAATATTTGAATTTCCTCCATAAGAACTCTTTAAGAACACAGGTGTAAGTAAAACTCTGAAATATTTTGGTCTCAAAGTGGACTCAGACTATTTTTTCGGTCTTAAGGGGACTCTGTTAAAATTTGGTCTCAAAGTGGACTCAGACGAATTTTCGGCATAGACTGGACTCTGATGAAAATTGGTCTGAAAATGAACTCTGCCTAATTTTGGGTCTTTACAGGACTCTGTTAATTTTTCAGGCTTAAACTGGACTCTGACAAATTTCTGTCTACAACCAGACTATGATGAATTTTTGGCATGCACTGGTCTCTGACTAATTTTCTGTCATTAATTGGACTCTGATTATATTTGGGTATAAACTGGACTGACGAATTTTGGGGCCTAAACTGGACTCTGATGAAATTTGAGCTTAAACTGGTCTCTGACTAATTTGCAGTCTTAAATGGACACTGGAGAAAATCGGTCCACAAATGGTCTCTGAAATATTTTTGGTCTTTACAGGTGAAACAGCTGCAAATGCACATAAAAACTAAAACTTACTGTTAGGATTTCTGTTTTCCTTAAGAAAACTTCTATGACAATATTCTCTCATAATGGTCGTTTTTCCAAATTTCGGTCATAAACTTGTAAATAAACTTCTATGATTACACGAACTCTGAAATATTTTCATAAAACTAAACTCTGAAAAAAAAATCTTAACAAACATCTATGAACATTTTATCTGAAAATGGTCTTTTTAATAATTTTCGGTCTTATAATGTTAAATAATCTCATATGATTATATGAACTCTGAAATATTTTCATAAAACTGAACCCTGAAAAATCTATAAACATATATTCGAAAATGGTCTTTGAATTTCGGTCTTTAACTCTGTAAAATTATATTAAATTATTTATAATTTAATATAATAAAAATTTAAATTATATAAGGAATTACAAAAAAATTAATTGAAAAAAATATATAAGGAAACCCATTAAAAATATATAAGGAAACCGCAAAGCGTATCGTCCTCTTTTCTCAAAAAACAAGAAGAGGACGATACGTTGTTCTCCCTGCTGCTTCCATCAACCCTCGTCAACCCTTTCAATCCCTCTGAGCTACCCTTCACCGTCCAGTGGACTACACCACACACATCTCGTCTGGACCATAGCACACACACTGCCTGACCCACCCGTGGGAACCCAAACCCACCCGTGGGGACCCAATCCCACCCGTGGGGACCCATACCCACCCGTGGGGACCCAATCCCACCCGTGGGGACCCATACTCACCCGTGGGAACCCAAACCCACCCGTGGGAACCCAAACCCACCCGTGGGAACCCAAACCCACCCGTGGGGACCCAATCCCACCCGTGGGAACCCATACCCACCCGTGGGAACCCAAACCCACCCGTGGGAACCCAAACCCACCCGTGGGGACCCAAACCCACCCGTGGGAACCCAAACCCACCCGTGGGAACCCATACCCACCCGTGGGAACCCAAACCCACCCTTGGGAACCCAAACCCACCCGTCGGGACCCAAACCCACCCGTCGGGACCCAAACCCACCCGTCGGGACCCAAACCCACCCATGGGAATCCAAACCCACCTGTGGGAACTCACATCATCTGGAGGGGGCCTGGTAGCCTGGTGGGTAGCGTGCAGGACTCGTAATTCTGTGGCGAGGGTTCGATTCCCGCACCAGGCAGAAATAAATGGGCAAAGTTTCTTTCACCCTGAATGCCCCTGTTACCTAGCAGTAAATAGGTACCTGGGAGTTAGTCAGCTGTCACGGGCTGCTTCCTGGGGTGTGTGGGGTGTGGGAAAAAAGTAGTAAGTAAACAGTTGATTGACCATTGAGAGGCGGGCTGAAAGAGCAAAGCTCAACCCCCGCAAACTCAACTAGGTGAATACAACTAGGTGAACACATCAACCACCAATGGGTCGGGGAGACCCACCTGCAGAACCGTACGGATGGTTGAAGGCGGCGCTGGATGCTGGGTCGAGATAAATATCTTTGGATGCTGTGGTGGAGTGGCCGGCCACAGCTGCCCGACAGGTGACCCGGGCCATGTTGTTGTGGAAGTACTCTGGGGCCATCCAGCGGAGGCCCAGAGTGGTCGTCACTCTCCCTCGGTGGTCCTCGAAGTCTGCATACTTCACCACGTTGAGATCTCTCACCTGAGGGGGAGTGTGAGGGGGGGGGGTAGGTAGGGAGGGACAACGAGGTAGGGAGGAGTCAGGAGAGATGGGTCAGTGGATGGACAGGAGGAGATAAAGGTCAGGGAAGGGACAGAAGGAAGGGAGGAAGATTAAGAGGACAAATGAGATGGAGAAACATAATATTAAAAAGTGTTTAAGCACATGATTTACTCAATTATATATATTATTCATACTTGTTGCAAAAGTACACACACACACAAAGGTTTGCCACCAGACTAGTACCTGAGCTGAGAGGTATGAGCTACGAGGAAAGACTACGGGAATTAAACCTCACTTCGCTGGAAGACAGAAGAGTTAGGGAGGACATGATCACTACATTCAAGATTCTCAAGGGAATTCATAGGGTAGATAAAGACACTCTATTTAACACAAGGGGCACACGCACTACGGGACACAGGTGGAAACTGAATGCCCAAATGAGCCACAGAGGTATTAGAAAGAACGTTTTTAGTGTTAGAGTTGTAGACAAATAGAATGCATAGGGAAGTGATGTGGTGGAGGCTGACTCCATACACAGTTTCAAGTGTAGATATGATAGAGCCCAATAGACTCAGGAACCTATACACCTGTTGATTGACGGCTGAGAGGCGGGACCAAAGAGCCAGAACTCAACCTCCGCAAGCACAATTAGGTGAGTACACACACACACAAAGTACACACACACACACACACACACACACACATATACACACGCACGTATTGAAACACACACACACGTACACTACACACACACACGTACACCACACAAACACACATACAGTACACACACACACACACACACACACGCACACATAAACACACATACACTACACACACACACACATATATACACACACACACACACATTATACACACACACACATACACTATACACACACACACACACACACACACACACACACACACACACACACACACACACACACACACACACACAAGAATATGTGTGTCTTCGTACCTTGTCAAGCACAAGACGAAGCTGGAAAAAGTCCAAAGGTATGCTACTAGACTAGTCCCAGAACTAAGAGGCATGAGTTATGAGGAAAGGCTGCGGGAAATGCACCTCACGACACTGGAAGACAGAAGAGTAAGGGGGGACATGATCACAACCTACAAAATCCTCAGGGGAATCGACCGGGTAAACAAGGATGAACTATTCAACACTGGTGGGACGCGAACAAGGGGACACAGGTGGAAGCTGAGTACCCAAATGAGCCACAGAGACGTTAGAAAGAACTTTTTCAGTGTCAGAGTAGTTAGTAAATGGAATGCATTAGGAAGTGATGTGGTGGAGGCTGACTCCATACACAGTTTCAAATGTAGATATGATAGAGCCCAATAGGCTCAGGAATCTGTACACCAGTTGATTGACGGTTGAGAGGCGGGACCAAAGAGCCAGAGCTCAACCCCCGCAAGCACAATTAGGTGAGTACAATTAGGTGAGTACACACACACACACATACACTATACACACACACACACACATATATATACACAGACACACACACACACATATACAAACATACACACATACACAACACATTATCTCCCTCCTCTCCGACCCCACTCGCCCTCTCTCTCTCTCGCTCTCTCTCTCTCTCTCTCTCTCTCTCTCTCTCTCTCTCTCTCTCTCTCTCTCTCTCTCTCTCTCTCTCTCTCTCTCTCTCTCTCTCTCTCTCTCTCTCTCTCTCTCTCTCTCTCTCTCTCTCTCTCGCCCTTCCTCTTTCTCGCCCTCCCTCCCTCTCTCTCGCCCACTCCCAATCTCACCCTTCCTCTCTTGCCCTCTCTCGTTCTCTCCTCTCCTCTCCCTCTCGCCTCTCTCCCTATCTCGCCATCCCTCTCTCTCTTGCTCTCTCTCTCTCTCTCTCTCTCTCTCTCTCTCTCTCTCTCTCTCTCTCTCTCTCTCTCTCTCTCTCTCTCTCTCTCTCTCTCTCTCTCTCTCTCTCTCTCATGCTCTCTCACTTGCTCTCTCTCATGCTCGGTCTCTCTCTTGCTCTCTCTTTCTCATGCTCTGTTCTCACTCTCTCTCTCTTCCTTTCTATCTGCCCTCCCCCCCTCACTGGCTAACCCTATACAAACTTGTTAGTTATAGGGACAAAAATGACAGGAGGATGCACCAGGGACACAGGGAAAAGTCGAAGTGACCTAATGAAGGAAATGTTAGCCGAAATTTGGAAGGAAATATGGAATGAGATGTATGAACTGAAGGATAAAATAACCTGCAAAGTGAGCTGACAGCAGCAAAGGAGGCGATAAAAACCCTCACAGATAAAAACTCTGAGACTGAACACCAGATAATCATCCAAAGGAAAGATGGAAATGGTTCACTGGAAAGGGATGCCTCTGTTCATGAAATATTTCCAGGAATACTGAAAAAGAGTACAGAAGCAATGACCACAGTGAGGAAGGTAGCCATGCAAGCAGCTACCTCACAGAAAGCAGAAGGGTGCACCAGTCAGCTGCTGGAAAGAAAAAGATCAGTGGTAGCTTCAGGCATCAAAGAACAGGAAGGCTTCTATAGGCAAGAATAGTATAGTAAGGGCAGAGAGGCAGTGAATGGAATACTAAAGGGGGTTAAAGATGGAAGGGACTGAAAAAAACATTGAGAAGGTTTTCAGTTTGGCCTGATATAACAAGGACAGAGACAGCCTGGTAAAGATTGTGTTTGCAAACGAGACCACGAAGGAGGATATTCTAGAAAGGAAGAGCCACCTGCAGTATGTGGAAGAATAAAAAAGTATTCCTCCAGAGTGACAGGACGAAGGAGGAGAGAGACATGGCGACAGAGGCAAGAGGGGGGGAAGGGAACCCACAACCAGCATCCCAGCAACACCAGAAGGGACGGCAACACCATCACCCTCCTCTGCATAGAAACGCTCTCTACCCCTCACCCAACCTGCCCCCTAACAAATGCTCACTGAACCCTCCCTCCCCCTCACCCCAAATTGACCCTGTCACTCCTCCCCTATTCCCTCCATGTCCTCCCTCCCCTATTCCCTCCATGTCCTCCCTCCCCTTTTCCCTCCATGTCCTCCCTCCCCTTTCCCCCCTCCCCTTTCATCCCATACCCCTCACAATCCCTCCTCTCCCCCTCACCCATATCCTCTATGTTCCCCCTACCTCCTTACCCCATAACCTACCTGTCCCCCTTTCCCTTGACCCCCACTACTCCCCACCCAAGAATCCTCTGAGACCCTGTTAACCAACTCACAGATCTTCACACCTATGGAACAGCTTCCACCACCACCAGAACGCTCACCAGGAAGGAGACAAAAGACTGAACAGGAAAAAGTGAGCTTCAAGGCAATGAACACTAACATGGGATTTCAAATAAAACAAGTAAACTTGGAGAATGGGCTCTAGAAAAAATCCCAGACGTAATAGCACTCACAGAAACAAAGCTAACGAAATCCATAACAATTGCAGTGTTTCCACGGGACTACTATGAAGTGAGGAAAAAGAGAGAAGGTAGAGGAGGAGGTGGTGTAGCTCTGCTGATAAGAAAAGGCTGGAGTTTTGAAGAGATGGTATTCTGGGCTGTGAAGATTTCAGTGACGATATAACAGGTACCATAGCAATTGGAAGACAAGAAATTATAGTAGTAGTCATATATAACCCCCCACCAAACGACAGAAGACCCAGACAGGAATATGATAGAAATAACATGGCCAGCATTAATATAATAGAGAGAGCAGCTTCTGTAGCTAGCAGGAATGGATCCAGACTACTAATCATAAGAGACTTAAACACGGGAAGATAGATTGGGTGAACAGGGACTCGCATAGAGGACCGGACACATGGAGAGCGAAGATGCTGGACGTGGAAATAAGAAACTGATGTGTCTAAGCCAATGCATCAAGGGACTGACAAGAATGAGAGGAGAGGATGAACCAGCTGTGCTTGATCTGATATTTACCCTACATGTGTCGGATATAAGGGAAGTTAAGTTGGAAGCCCCCATGGGAATGAGTGATCACAGTGTATTGAACTTTGAGTACCTGGTAGACCTAGAAATTATCTCCCCCATAAAAAACCTGGGGAAACAAAAGGCTGGCGTACCGAAAGGGAAATTATGAGATGAGAAAATTCCTATGGGATATACCATGGGACACAGAACTCGGAAATACGTCCGTACAAGACATTATGGACTATGTCACCTAAAAGTGTCAGGAGGCAATAAACAGGTTTATCCCAGCCCGGCAGGAAAAAAAACGAGAAGCAAAAGAAGAATCCGTGGTTTAGTAGGGCATGTATGAAAGCAAAAAAAAACAGAACAAAAGGGCGGGGAGGAACTTCCAAAATAACAGAACACCAGAAAGGAGTGAGAGATTCCAGAGAACCAGGAACGGGTATATTAGTGTGAAAAGAGAAGCTGAGATAATGTATGAAAATGATATAGATAATAAAGCCAAGACCGAATCAAACCTAGTCCACAGTCACATCAGGAGGAAAGCAACAGTGAAGGAACTAGTCATGAAACTTAGAACTGGTGAGGACAGGTAGACAGAGAATGAGAAAGAAATGGGTGAAGAACTCAACAAGAGGTTCCAGGAGGTCTGCACAATAGAACAAGGTGAGTTCACTGCACTAGGAGAGGTGGCATTAAACCAGGCGGCCTCGGAAGTGTTTGAAATTACAAGAGATAAGGTCAAGAGGAATCTATTGGATCTGGACGTGAGAAAGGTTGTTCGCCGGGATGGAATCTCACCATGGGTACTGAAAGTGTGTGTGCAGAAGTACTCTGCTTGCCGCTGTCCATGGTTTATAGTAGGTCACTGGAGATGGAAGACTTACCAGAAATACGGAAGATGGCTAATGTATCCCAATATAAAAAAAAGAGTGACAGACAAGAGGCACTGAACTACAGGCCAGTATCCTTAACTTCAATACCATGCAAGGTGATGGAGAAGATCGTGATAAAAAACCTTGTAACACGCCTGGAGAGAAGAGACTTCATG